AGTGAAGCAACCTGCCCAGAGTGCATGCATTCTAGCCACAACACCACTTCCTGAGCAGTGTGAGTGAAAAAATGTTCAGGATAAATAGGGTAGAAGATATCAGAAAAACGTGCCACTGGAAAACAAATCTGATGAGGGACCAAGAGTGAGGGGTCACTGATGCACACCCCAGGGCCACCCTGACGTCCATATCAGGCCACCAGATCTGGAAGAAAACTCTCAGCAATGAGGGTGGGCCTTCTGAGGAGACAGAACACAAACAAGGTCAAAGCAGGTGGGTTTCAATTTGCATCCCATCAAATCATCAAAAAAGAGGTAAGAAAGATAGCATAACACCTTACAGAGAAGACTGAGCATTTGCTGAAAGAAAATGTATAGATGACATAAAGCTGAGAGGGACAGTCAATAGTCAGGATGACAGAATCAGGATTCAAAAAGACTGATCAGGGGCAGCTAGGTAATGCAGTGGATAGAGCACCGGCCTTGGAGTCAGAAGGACCTGAGTTCAAATGGGGCCGAAGACACATGATACTCACCAGCTGTATGATCCTAGGCAAGTCACGTAACCTCGATTGCCCGGGGTGAGGGGAGATGGGACAGGACTGATTAGTTAGAATTCAAAAAGACTGGTCAGTCCTTTTCTGCTATCACAAGATGAGACAATAGACATTTCTAAATTTAAGGTCCTGCACTTGTGTTCAAAAACTAAAACAAACAAGTAGAGAAGACATGACTAGAGGGCAACTTATATAAAAAAGACTTAGAAGTTATTAACTCCAACTTCAACATCAATCAACATAGTTAGGTAGCTGCCCAAAAAGCTGACACCTCCTTATTCTGTATTAATGGATGAATGTCCAAGAAGCCAGTCCCCAGTGTAGTCTGCACTGGTCAGACTACAAATGGGCCACTGTGTCCATTAATGGGCACCACCACATAAGCAGAACACTGGCCCTTTCCTGGCCCCTTCCTACCAGTACTCTATGACCCAGGGACGCAGGCCTCTCTGCTGACCCTCTCACATAAAATGCCATCTCCTGACTCAGAGCATTTCCACTACTGCTAATTATTGCTCTGAATGCTCTCCCTTCTTATCTCTGCCTCCTGGCTTCCTTCCAGTCCCAACTAAAACCCCACCCTTTGCAAGAACCCAGTCCTGGGCCCCCTTGACGCTAGTGTCTTCCTTTTGAGATTACCTCCAATTTACCTTGTATAAATTTCAAGTCCAGTAACAAGCATTTATTAAGCACTTACTATGTGCCAAACACTGCTAAACATTGAGAATGATGGTCCCTGCTCTAAAGGAGCTGCCATTCTAACGGGGGAAGGAAGCTAAAAGGAGCAAGGAGATGGAGGGAGAGAAGAGAAAGGAAGGTGCCCAGAGCAGGGCACTGTGGAGGAAGTCAGGGAGAGTAAGGAGAGCATCCTGGAAAGGAAAAGAGATATGGTCAGCCTGGGCACTCTTAAATGGAGGCTCTGGGAGGAGCCAGCCAAGCAAAGGAAGAGACTGAAGAGACATAAATAAGCCAATGTGTGAAACCCTATGGCCTTGGAGTACAGTCTAGAGAGGAAAAATCCTACTTGTACAGAACTGTTAGGCTGTTATCTCCCCAATTAGAACCTGAATTTCTTGAGGGTAGGGTCTCTTTTTGCCTTTCTCTGTATTCCCAGTGCTAAGTGCGGTGGCTGGCACAGAGTAAGGACTTAACATGAGCCCCTGACTTACTGTGACAAATCAGAGCACATCTAGAGGATGACAAAGATGGTGAGAGGACTAGAAGACATGTTATAAGAGGATTTCTTGAAAGAATTATCTTGTTGATCACAAATCAAGAGCAAAGGGCAGCTGATGGACAGAGACACTGGAATCTATACAATGTCTACAGATATGGAGGCAAAGGCCACACAGAATCAATATCACAGCAGGAAGCGCTCTCATGGGAGGATCACTGAAACACAGAAAGACAATCAAGAAGCATCATCAGACCAAACCCTGAACATAATAGGCACTATATAAATAACTAGTGAGGGTAAGCCCTCCAATCTCTTAATTTTCCCCTACCACCCCCATATCTAGTCAGTTGCTAAATCTTGTCAATTGTGCCTTATCAGCATTTCTCACATCCTTCATTTTCTTTGGAGGCAATTAGGTGGGGAGCAGTGCACAGAGGGCTGAGTCTGGAGTCAGGAAGATGTGAGTTCAAATCTGGCCTAAGACACTTCCAAGCTCTGTGATCCTGGGCAAGTCACTATACTTCTGTCTGCCTGTTTTCTCATCTGTAAAATGGGGATAATTATAGCACCTACCTCCCAGCGTTGTTGTGAGAATCAAATGAGATAATAAGTACACACAGCTTAGCACAGTCCTTGGCATACAGTAGATGCTTAATAAATGGTTTCCTTTCTTTCTTCTCTACTCATACAGCCACTACTCAAATCAAGTCTTACTCCTTCTCACCTGGACTATTCAACAGCTTCCTAGCTGGATTTCTAGTCCCAATCTCTCCCTTCTCAATCTCCTGGGCACATTATTTTTTATCTTTCTAAAGTCCAAGTTGGACCATGTCACTCCTCTGCTTACAAACTTTTAGTGGCTATGCATTTCTACTGGGATAAAATAAGAACTCCTCAGTTTGGCATTTTATACTGTGGCTCTAGTTTGCCTTTCCAGGCTTAACACAAATTATTTCTATAAATGCACTCTCTGTTCCAGCCAAACTGAAACTTGCTATTTCATGAACTCATCCTCATTTTCTTTCTCTGCGCCTTTGCCCAGGCTGTGCCCAGGCCTAGAATGTACCTCCTCTCAATTCTGCCTCTTAGCATCCCTGGCTTCCTTGAACACTCAGCCCCTGTGCAATCAATTACTTTTACAAATCTTTCCTGATCCACTAGTGGTTAACACTATCTTCCCCTTCAAATTATCACACAAATAATCATCAGTTTATGTGTTGTATCTCCTCAATAGAATGCAAGCTCCCTGAGGACAGGAACTTCCTTCCTTTCTCTCTGTCTCCCTAGCACCTGGGACAAAGCTTTGCACTTATTAGATATTTAATAAATGCTTGACTCTCTTTAAACATGTGATGAGCTGGGGTGGAAGAAGAGTTTGATTTCTTTAGTCTCTTTTGCTGCAGAGGGCAGAACTAGGATCAGCGGTTAAAGATTACAGGAAGCTAAATTCCAGCTCATACAGACATGTGTGGTATAGTAGATTCAGAAGACCGAGTTTGAATGGTGGGTCTACCACCTACTACTTAACCTTGGGCAAGTAACTTAACCTCTAGGAATATGAGAGGGCTGAACCAGATGACTTCTAGCTGTAAATACTTTCCTGATAATTAGAACTATTAAAAAGTGCTATGGGCTACCTTATGAGGTTCTGGGCAACTCTTCACTGGAGCTGGTCAAGAAGAAACTAAACTATTATAAAGAATAATGTAGAAGGAAATTTGTGGTTTGGGAGTGGCTCTGGCCAAGACAACCTGCCAAAGTCCTTTCCACCTCTGAGATTCTGTGATTCTGATCCATATCTGGCAGTCATACACACAATATGATAAGCCTGGCATCATAATCTAATGTTGCCATTTTTGGCTTAAGTTTATAACAAGGATTATAAAGTTTATTTTAAAATGTTCACCATTAAAGAGATACTTCTTTCCTTCAAATAAGCACACAATTGGTATCAACTTGAGAACAGCTTTTTCTAATCCATTCTATAACTTTTTTCCTTTTATATGGCAGCTGTATTTTTAGGTGAGATAAATTTGGTTTGTTTTTTTTTTTCTGACATGATCTGTACAGTCTCTCTATTTGTACTTTGTCCTTTATCTTCATCATGTTGTAGCAATTTCCTCATAGGATTTCCTTAATGTACTTAATGCATTCTAGAAACACTAGATTTGGTGTAAGATGACCTGGGATGCCTACCCTCTAGCTTCTTTTTGACCAGAGAGACTGAAGTGGATATGAGGCAGCATGGTATATGTATTGATGAAGTGTCAAACTTGGCTCCCAATGGGGCCCAAACCAGATAAAAATGTAATTAAGAAATGTTTAACAAAATAAAAATACAATTCAACAAAGATAATGTTAATCTGTGTTTTATAAAATCAGTATGCAACCTCATATATTTGAGTTTCACACCACAGTGTAGCAGATGGAGAGGAGGTCTGGGAGCCAGAAAGACCTGGGTTAAAATGCTGCCTCTGATATATACTGTACGACAAATCACTCATCCTCTTGGGGCTCCAGGTGACTCTTTAAGACTATCAGCTTTAGAGAAGGTGCTGAACTGCATTGGTAGAAAGAATTTTCTCACCAATGAAACCACATGTCTAATCCCTTCACTTATCCAGTGAAGTGGAGCCCATAACTGTGAGGGTCTTTTACAGTTCTAAAACTACGGTCCTATAATCTTTTCCCATAATAAGGCATAACTATGGTATTTGAGGTCCATTGTGTCCTAGCAATTTCTAAGTCTCCTGGTAGGTATTCACGACACAAAGAGTCAGCTCCCTGACCCTTCCAGATTAACTGGTGATCCAACTAGTCTGTAGTCATTTTTCACCAAGATCCTCCTCTCCCTTTCTTCCTTCATCAGGTCTTCCATATGCCTCATTCCAAGTCTTCCTCTCCTCTTTTCATACAAAGTTAGAGGGGGCAGCTAGGTGGCACAGTAAATAGAGCACCAGCCCTGGATTCGGGAGGACCTGAGTTCAAATCCAGCCTCAGACACATAACACTTCCTAGCTGTCTGACCCTGGGCAAGTCACTTAACCCCCACTGCCCCCCCCCAAAAGAGCATACAAAGTTAGAGTCTGAGGTGATAACTGATACTCACTTCCCTCTGACCTAGAAAATGAACTCTCCAGAATGCAGCAGTATTATCCTTCTTCTGGTCAATGGATACTGGACATAGGAAAATCATGTGGTGTGGAGAGTCTACATTTCACAGAGCATCACGTTTACAGAAAAATCTTTGGGAATTATTCTCTTACCTGCTTGATCTGCATGTAACCAGAAGATACAGGGGTTAGGGAATTTCAAGGGGCCCCCTAGGGGGCCCCCACCTTCTTCTGCATGTTGACGACTAAGAAGTTCACTATGTGAGATTCCTGTTTCTTCAAACACTTGCAAACTCCTAAAACATTAAAAAAAAAATGGACACTCTCTGAAAGACCAAGAGGAAACAGATGTTTAGTCTATTGTTAACGGGCTCAGGAGAGAAGCTGTTAGCAAACTGGCAAACTCGTTCTCACAATATAATTATGACTAAATGTCTTGTTGATAAGAAAACTCAAATCTGCCTATCAGAAAAAAATCCCAAATAAAAACAGAAAAAGGGTCAGAGATATGACTAATCTTTTAAACCTGGTATTTCTCTCTCTGTGTGTCTCCTTTCGTTTATAGATAGGCACAACTATTTTATAAATCTCTTAACTAGGTACCCTACCTCCATATTCTTTCTTCTCTAAAATATCCCTTCAGACTGCTCCCCACCAAAATCTTCTTAATGCAGAAGTCTAATTATGTTACCTACTGCTCAAAAACCTTCAATGGCTACCTGCTGCCTGGAGTATAAATTCATAATAATAAGTAGACATTTCCCACCCCCAACCACCTTTCCAGTCTTCTTATACCTTAGTCCCTAATATACTCTTCCATCTAGTAACACTGGCCTCCTGGCTGTTGCATGAACAAGACACTCCATCTCTCAGCTCCATGCATTTTTCCTAGCTATCCTCCATGTCTAGGACAATTCTCCCTCCTCCTCTCCAACTAATTATATCCTTGGCTTCCTTTAAGTCCCAACTAAAATATCATTTTCTAAAGGAAGCCTTCCCCAATCCCTCTTTTAATTCCAGTGCCTTCCCTCTCTTATTTCCTATTTATTCTACTGTGTGTGGGTGTACATATATATATGTAAAATTTGCCTGCACATTGTCTCTCCCATTAGATTGTAAGCTCTCTGAAGGCAGGGGCTGTCTTGCTTCTTTTTGTACGCCCATTTGCTTAGTCTGCCTGGCACGGAGTAGGCATTTTATAAACGTTTATCGACTGATTACTCAAAAAGCTCCAGTGATTTGGTATTATCTCCAGGGTCAAATACAAATATGCTATTTGGCATATTCACAACTTGGCTCTAACACACATTTTTAGGCTTAGAACACTTTCATACACAATTCCCCACACACAGCAGATGTTTAATCAATGTTTTTTCACTCATTCCTTCAGTCAAGTCAAGCCGGCCTTTTGCTGTTCTTCATATCCATCTCCTCTTTCTCTACTCCCCTCCCAGCTCTCAGTCCTCAGATGTTGCCAGCGTGTGTCAGCAGCCTTTGTAACGCTGAACCTAGCAGGCAGGGCCCTCCTCCTAGTGAGGAATTCCTTGTGGGAGCTTCATTTTGAGGAATGCCCAGGTGAGCCACCCTTCATTCCTCTCTTGGTTCTGCCCCAAAACACTGGACTTCACCCCACACTCTCACCTGGCTCATTTTCCCCAGCCCCTTGGTATCTCCATTTTAGTGTTGTCTTCCTGCATTAGCATGTAAGCTCCTCAAGGTCAGAGACTGTCTTCTGTTTTTATTCCCAAAGCTTAGACAGTGGCCAGTACATGCATGGTAAGGACTTAGTAAGTGCTTCCTAGCTTGACCAATTGTATGCTTTTGTACACACTGTCCCTGATCCCTGGAATGGGCTCGTTGACTGTTTAAAAGTTTACAAAGTTCTTAACACAGAACACCTTATTTGAGTTAAGAATTCAAGGTGCTTCTTTGACACTTTCAATCTGACTGATGTGGGAACTCTTAACACATTTTCATCATTTCAGACCATGTATCCATATCCTTCTGTAAATCCCATATGCTCAGGGCTTTCCTCTAGATCCCTTGATATTGTGGAGATACCAGTGTTGCACAGAGATCAGTCACTGGCTACCTTCTGCTCTTATTAAAGGAGGGAATATAGTGTAGTGGAGAAGGCATCGGACTGAAGAGTTGGGAAAACCTTGGGATCCAATCCCATCGTAAGCACTTACTAGATGTGTGAACCTGAGCAGCCACTTTATCTCCCTGAGCCTCAGTTTACTCCTCTGTAAATGAGGTTGGACTCAATGGCCTTCAAGGTCCCTTCCAGTTTCAAATCTGTGTTTCTGTGATTGTGTGACCAAGCCTGCTTCCTTTTCCCATCCCAGGTATTATGATCTTCAGGGCAACTTGGTGGTCTAGTGGATAGAGTACTGGGCCTGAAGTCAGGAAGACCTGACACTTACCAGCTGTCTGACCAAGGTAAGTCACTTAATGCTGCCTGCCTCAGTTTCCTCATCTGTAAAATGAGCTGGAGAAGGAAATGACAAACCATTCTAGTATCTTTGCTAAGAAAACTCCAAATGGGGTCATGAAGAATGGGGCATAAAACACTTCTGAGGAGGGACAGAGTCAAAAGAGAGAATAGAATAAATGGGAGGCAAGATAGGATGAAGGGAAATATAGTTAGCTTTCTGCAACATGACTACTATGCAAGTGTTTTGCATGACTACACATGTATAACCTATATCGAGTTGCTTGCCTTCTCAATGAGGGTGGATAGGGAGGGAGGGAGAAAATTTGGAACCCAAAGTTTTAAAAACAAATGTTTAAAATTGTTTTCACATGCAACTAGGAAATAAGATACACAGGCAATGGTGTATAGAAATCTATCCTGCCCTACAGGAAAATAGAAGGGGGAGGCGGGGGGAGATAGAAGGGAGGGCAGAATGGGGAAGGGGTATTCAGAATGCAAGTCATCTTGGAATGTGGGGAGGAACAAGATAGGGAGAAAATTTGGAACTCAAAATCTTGTGGAAGTCAATGCTGAAAACTAAAAATATACTAATAAACAAATGCAAAAATAAAAAATAAATTTAAAAAAGAATGGGGCATGACTAAAATGGCTGAAACAAAAACAATTATGATCTTCGTTTTTATATATGCAGAAACTAAGTTCAGAGAGCTAAGTAAGTTGGTTAAGAATCAGAAGCAAGACCAGAATCCAGGTCTTTCTGACTGCAAGTCCACTGCCCTCTATCCACCATGCCATGCTGCTGCCCCTTGTCACACACAAACACGAACTCCTTGGCTAGATTGACAGGCTCTCCACAAGCTGTTTCCAGCCAGCCCTTCATCTCTCTAAGAATTACAGGCTCTCCTGCTGAAAAGAGATATCAATCCTTTCAAGACATTCCTGACAAGTAGGCATCAAGTCTCTGCTTGAAGAACCTCGGGAATGAGAACCATTCCATCAAACCTGCTAAAGCAGCCTATTCCACTTCAGAAAGCTTTGTTAGGAAATGTTTTCTTAAATGAAAACTTATTATCTACTTATTATCCCCCTACCCCCCTTCACCCACTCTACATTTTAGGCAAACTGGACTACTAGGTGGACCATGATCTTATCTTGTACTCTCCCAACTCTATACACTTGTACAAGGTGCTCCCCGTGCCTGGAACACACTATCTCCCCATCACCACCCACTGAAATCCTTCTCCTCCTTTAAAACTTAAAAGGCCATCTCTTCCTCTGACATGCTGCTTTCCCTGGTCTTCCCTTAACCAAAAGCTATCTCTTCTGCACCTATCAGTTATCATACTAATTTGTATACCTGTAATCTTATCCCTCCATTAGATTTTAAGTTCCTTGAGAGCAGGAACAGAGTCTCTTTCACATTTTAATTTCCAGTGTACAACACTGTGTTTCTAAATGAAACGGTAGTATTTAATATATCTTTGTTAAAATTACATTTTGGAAAGTTTATTCCAAGTCAAGTCATGTTTCTCTAGATTACTTTTTCCATAGCACAAAGGTATATTCATATATCCACCACACTTCAACTTAAGTATCAGAATGAATAAAGGATATGCTTGGATAAGAGAGTGTACACACATGCTCTTATACTACCATCAATTTCTCCTTATGAATACATTAAGGAAGGCAGAATCAGAAAACTCAACTCCTACAGCCATACTTACGTCACTCAAGAAACCATATTTTTTCAGCTTGAAATAAAATTTTTCCCCTATCTCTTTCCATTTCCTGAATCTAGATTATTAAAAGATCCCTCATCTTTTCAAATTAGCAGTAACTGAATGAACTGACAAAGCAACACCTCACTTGCAGAGAGGTCAGGATTGTTCAGCTCTCCTTATAGAGCCTTCTACCTTAAAAATAAATGAAAATAAAACAGAACAACAAAACAAAACAAAACAAAAAACTTCTGAGCACATTTAGTCACTACCTAAAGCACTACATATAAATAAGTACATGCTATATTAAGCCAGGCAATTTACTCCACATAAGAGAGGACCTAAGGCCCAGGTTCTGGCTCAGAAGTTTATTAAATTAAGCACACAATGCTAATAGACCTAGCTATCAGATTAACAACAGAAAACTAGAAGAGGTGAGTGGAGCATCAAAAGCAGCTATGTATGTATATACTAGGTCAAGCAATCCTCTGGTAAAAATCTTTAATGGTTCCATTCAATATGAAAGGAAATAAATTCTAGAGTTTACCATGCATATGCACAGAAGGAAGAAAGAGATTAGTTTTTCATAAAGAAAACTTGTATTCTATACATAACATTTTTATTACTGCTACTTTGAAATATTTCAGTAGAATAACAGTTACTTACCAGACATGCCCCAAACTCCCTGGACAGGCTCCATATAACCAATGCCCCAGGTTAAGAACTTCTGCTCTAGCCAAAGAAAACTACTTACTGTGCCCCAAATATGTCTTGCACGGTCCACTTTTCCTAACTGTTCCTTATGCCCAGTTCCATCAGCAATGTCTCCCTGCAACTTCCTCTCTTCAATATTGACTTCTTTGCCACTTTCTAAAGCCCAACTCCAACGTTATATCTTCCTAAAAGCCTTACGTGAAGCCCTAGCAACAACCTTTTCTTATACAGACCTTACGTAGCCCATATTATTCTATCATCAATACACTCTAAGAGGGAGGTCACTGTATTTATCTAAAATTTGTTGCATCTTTCCCAGCACCTAACAGTGTTATGCCTATAGTATGTGGTTAATTAAATGTTTACTGAATTGAATTCCAGCAGTGAAAAGTGGTAGGTGGAACTCTAGTACTGGAAAATCTAAAAATAAGCAGTGTGCATAGTAAAGTTATGGATAATCTCAACACTTACCTGATGCAGACCAAAACACTAATGATACTAATTATTTTTTGCTCAACAAGGGAAGGAAGTCTATCAGACATTTTACTTCTATCCCAGTGGAAAGTCAAAAATTTGGTCACTGAAATTATAATTATCTTTCAGCTGGTAAATTCACTTATGTAGCGTAAAAACACAATGCCTGATAAGACCAGTAAGTGAGGTGATTCTGTAGTAATAATAATATAAAACATTCAATCTTTCCCCTTCCACCATCATAACAATTTGGTGTCACCCATAACAGAAAAATTAGCCTGGCCGGGCACTAGAATCTCACATGACCTCTTCAGTTTCTATCTGGACATGACTTCAGGTTACAGAGTCTAAGGAAGTTGTGGAACTTGCTACTTTGCAGGAGACCTTGTCTGATCACCACAGTACTAGGAAGAGGCCTCCCTCCAGACTCCAACTCCAGCTCCCTCACCACTACACATGGCTGCCTCACCAGATCTCATCCCTCAGGGAGATACCATAAGTATGGACATAGAAGCTGAGCAGGCAGAAGGTTTAAAAAAAAAAATGCACCTCCCAGACTCCCCTCTGATGTGAAAGATACAGAGTGTGAAACCTGGTATTGCACAAACAACTGGGCAAAACAAATAAAATCCCAATGTAAATGGACTGGATGCCAGAAAGAAAAAGACGTAAAAACTGTTATTCAAACAGAAAATAAACCAAGATTACAGAGGCCCCAGGGAATTGTGCTATAGTGTACCAACAAAGTAGGGCACAACTATTTATAGGGGGAGTGGTATTGAGACAATAGCCCAGGACTCCCCAACAGGTCTATCAGGATCAACCAGTCAATCTTCAAGCAACTCTCTGAACGGCTGCCATGCCACCCTCCCACTGGTCTATGGGGATTTCCAAATTAGAGGCAGCTCCTTCCACCCCGTCCCCCAAATGACTTGTGTTGTCAAAATCCACCAAATCTGTTGCAATCTCTTTTCTTCCCCCTCACCCCAACTTCCACACCAGAATTTCTCCTTTGGAAAAGGTTAGGAACTGCTTACAAGCCACAAAAACTTTCCCAGGACTTTGAAATCTGCCCGCTTTGGGCTGGTCATCTCACCTGGCTACTTTGCGTTTATCATGGGGGTGCAGCTTGGCAGCCATTTCTGGGTCCACCTGGCTTAGCCGGTAATGCAATTCATAGCCATCCATTTTTTCCAATTCCATTTTCCTGTCGATCACTTTCTCTCCCTTACGTATTTCCTCTGAAGAATGGAAAGCTTTCCCCTGGAGTTACCAAAAATTAGTTTTAAAATGAAGATACCTTGCTTTCTGGTCAGAAAAGTAATGGACCTAGGACTATCTCCATCATGCCAAGGGCTTTAATCTTGACAGCACTACCTACAAACAGCAGAGCTGCTACCACATTAAAACATTTAGAAAAGCCTCACGTTAGGCAAGTCCCCTATAAGAAAGATAAGGTTGAGACAGTTTAATGGTGTCCACAGCTTCAAATGTCTGAGACCAGCTGCCAAATGATGATTAAGCCTTTCTTATTCAGAGATCTGGTAGTATCTCTAATTCTCTGCTAAAGAAAACGTGTAATGGCTCCCTAAATGCCTACACCATATTGTTCAAAGTCCTCAGCCTGGCATTCAAGGCCTTCCACAGTCTGATATCCTAACTACCCAGTCCCAACTTACACTACTCCCCCTCACTGCATATCACTCGAGGCAAACTGGCCTATGTGCAGTCTGCTGACATGCTCCATTCCTTCTCAGCTCCATGTTTTTGCTTATGCCATATTTAATACCTAGAGGTCTCACTCCCTCTCCTGTCAAAATTCTACTCATCTGTTAAAGCCAGACTCAAATGCTACTTCTTTCAGGAGGCCTTTCTAAAGGCCTAGTCTGTCATGACCTTGCCTTACTTAGAGTACAGTAGTACTTTCTGGACCTCTCTGAAGCAGTTATCACAAAGCATTCTGAACAATGGTTATTTATGTATATGCCATATCTCCCAATAAACTGGAAAGGCCAGGAAGGAAGTCTTATCTAAAGATATCACCACTATCCAAAGTGCTATGTTTTTAACAGTAGGCAGTATTTATTGAACTGCATTACAAAAACTACAGTAAACTTGTACTAAGGTGCTAATTAATCCTAGGAAAGGCAGCTTGCCCCCCATGTGTCCTGCCCTCAGGCCAGCCAGGAGAAACAAACTGTACACATGTAGCTGGCATTTCTTTCAGAATATTAAGTGGGAAAATGACAGCTGCTATTCATAACAAAAAGAGACTAGTAAGGATTTGCTTCCTCTTCCTAATAAAATTCACCATGGGAGAAATTAGAAATCTTTAAACCAGCATACCTTGGTGTTGATCAGAACTTTCCAGAGCAAGGATTCAATATAATAATTAGTACCTCCCACAACAATTGGAATCTTCTCTCGAGAAAATATATCTTCAATGTAAACATTAAGAAATAAAGCACCAAATGGTATAATCAGAGAGATTTTAAGTTGGAAGAGTCCTTGGAGACCATTTAGTACAACTCTCTATTTTTACAGAAGAAGACACTGGGCCAAGAAGCAATGACAGGCAATGACAAACTTAAGGTCACACCAGTTAGTAGTAGAGCTTGAATTAGAAGCCAGGTCTCTTGACCGCAGTCCAAGGCTTTTCCACTAAACTAAGGTATCTTGTATCAGAATACTATTTCTGCTTGTCTTATCTGGGAATGATGACACCAGCAAGAAGCTATATTCTTCTGGCTGGGAGGCTAAAGGGAAAAAGGTCAGATACAGTTATAGATACCTTTTTCTACCAGAAGATCACAGGGGAAATTAATCAATCTAGAACAATGTATATACATTTAAGAAAAGGAGTCTGCACTTAGGACAACTACTTTGTAAATATCTTCCAGTTCCCTGCTATGGAGCCAGGCCTTTGCTGCCTAAACATGTGCAGATGGACAGTTGTTTTCTAGGAAAGGGGACAAAAATAGATCTATTTCCTATAGAACAAAACATATTAGCTACTTGGAATCACAGATTATTAGATGTGGAAGGAATCTAAGAGATCATTTAGTCTGCCCTCATTTTAAAGAGGGAGTGAAGGACCAAAGAGAAAACATGACGTGAAGTCAGTGTTTGGGCCAAGGCTTAAACCTCGCTCTTACGACTCCTATTTCTATGACCCTTCCACCCGGTGGAGGGATGAGGTATATTGTACTACATGTTCCTAAGCAGTCAGTTACTTTTAGGACCCCTTATCCAAAGCCATGTGGTGATAAATGTGTTCTAATTCACAGAGAAAGAACTAGAGCTACCTGGGACATCTGAATTCCTGTCTTCACAAGGACTGTAGAACAGGTCATTTGCTCTACGGAGTACCTTACACCCCAAGGCACTAATAAAGAAGTCTTTCAACACCCAGATAAAGGATTATTTATAAATGCCTTCCCAGGAATCCCTGGATAGTAAAGCCTAGAGGGCAGGGGCAGAAATTCTTTTTCCTTTTGGAGGATCACAGGTGGAAATATGCAATCTAAAACCACACAAACTTTAAAAAGAAACAAAGACCCCACCCAAATAAAAAGTTATTGGTTTGTTTTAAGAGAAACGTTCCACCCACAGCTTTTAAATTTAACTCACAGGAAAGACAAAACTCTACTGCACCACCTCCCTGCCCAACGCTAAACAGATGGGTCAGTAACTAAATTATTCTTTCTGTGTTAACTTATGCTATGAACATATAAATAATATATCACCATCCTTTTGAATTCTCATTATTATCATCTCCAGTTTGAAATAGATCTTTCTACACTAAAAATAATCTGCTTAAAAATATTATCTTAGATTTGTAAAGCACTTTACAATTAAGTTAATAAACTGCTTTCACAGATATGAAGTCATCTGATCTCTGAAGCAACCAAAGATACGTGTCATCCTTCCTATTTTATGACCCAAAGAAATGTAACAGGATTATAGTTTTCTAGGTGGGAAAGATATAGATAATTTAGTTCAACCCCCTCATTTTGCAGATGAAGAAAGTGGGGATCAGAGACAGGAAATGACATCTCTGAAGTCACATGGCTAGTGATTCAGTGTGAAGCACAATGGAGGGTGTTAATCTTTCTGCTCAGTTCAGTATTTTTTTCATTATACCACATTTCATACTTTGAAAGATAACCTTATTTCAGCAATAACTGTATTTCAGAAAGAAACTTCGAAAAAAGTATTTAGTTCATTTTGTTATATGTTTTTCCCAAACAATTCAAAAGTGTTCTGTTTGGGTGCTGAGGGTAGAGAAGGGATTACTTGTGTCCTGGTAAGGATGGTATGAATTAAAAACAACTTAGTAACCAGAAGCTAAAATCACAAAATGCAGCATTTCAGCAAAATCAGTATCAACTACTAGGAGGCCCAGGCAATTATCCACCAAGATGTGATGATCATGGAGGGAGACAGGGATACAGCCCTGGAATGAATTACCCTCTGCCACCTTCCTCAAGAAGATACAACTGGAATTAAACCTTTGTAAAGCTTTCGTAAATCCTTTCATCATTCTACAATTTTATCCTGCTTGTGGAAAGGAAGCATCTTTATCAAACAGTAGTTAAAGAACTACAATACTTGATGTATTTGTTTTAATTGTGTATATTTCTTACAGATGTGATTTTCAGTATTTCATGTTGCTTTCCAATTGTGTAAGCAAAATACAGTGGATTTGGATTGACTACTTTACTTGTGAGAGACATTTGATGAATAGAAAATTACTGGGGTTTTTTTAATAGTAGTTAAGAATCAAACTCTATTACTGTGAATATCAAAACATCTAGGACCAGGGATTCTTAACCATTTTTATGTCACAGGCCCTTTTGCTCATCCAAAATACATAATGATTTTTCATTAATGCACAAAAATTAGGTCTGAACACTTCAGGTAGAATCTTCAACCAGCTAGAAAACACATGTTTAAGACAATCTAATGTTCAATATTCCTTTGAAAACACTTCGCTATTACATGTGTCTGAGAATTTCTGGACCACTTTAGTTTAAAAAAAACAAAACAAAACTTGGTAAAAACAACCTTCATGAATAAATGGACTATTTATGATTCACTATTCTTCAACTGCTCTTCTCAAAGCTTTGAGGATCTGAATGGGATCTTGTGGGGTAACCCACCAAGGGTAAAACTATTCTCCACACTGTTGGTGTTTGCACTAGAGAATTATCAAATCTTACCATTTAGTCACAGAAATTAGAATTGGAAGAATTCTTAGAATCTTCTAGTTCAAGACCACAGGCCCTCTTGGTGCAAGGGAAAGCATTACTACAAGGAACTAGGAGATAATTTTTCTGCCTCTGGTCATTGCTCTCCATGCCACCCTCCCCCATCCTCCAGAACCAGCTGCCTGCTTTCTTGAAGGATATCAGAGCAGTTGCTTTGTTCCTGAAGTCCACCACAGTGTAATTCATCACAAGGGGATCCACAAAGCTGATCATATGGTGTTGGCAGATTCTCTGTTCTTGGAGGGAGACCTTGTTGGTGATGATATTTAGACCCTCATATACCTACAGAACAAAAAGTTAAAATCAGAAAATCAAACCGCCTCCTTCACATAATCAATCAAATAATGTAGATCAAATACCAGTCAGGTGGAAGACAGGGAAGAGAGGAGTCTGGGACAGATTGGGCCTTTCCTGGGCACTAAAGACTTCCATTTACGAAGAGCCCAGGACCAGGGATTCTTTTTTTTTTGTTAAGGCAACTAGGGTTAAGTGACTTGCCCAGGGTCACACACCCACTAAGTGTCAAGTGTTTGGTCTGAGGTCGGATCTGAACTCAGGTCCTCCTGACTTCAGGGCAGGTGCTCTATCTACTGTGCCACCTAGCTGCCCCTAGAACCAGGATTCTTAACTGTTTTTATGTCAGAGATAGTTCTGGCAATCTGATGACGCCAATCAATCCTTTCTCAGAATGTTTTTAAATGCATAAAATATAAGAGGAAAGCAATCATACTGAAATAGTTATCAAGATATTTAAAAAACAACTTTACAGACTTTTGGGTTAAGAAATCCTGCACTAAACAGACTGGAAGTAGTCATAATAAAGGCTTTTCTATCAAATTAAGATGTAAGCAGAATTAAGTATACAGTTTTGAGTCTAAAAAAGGTTCTCAAAGATTGAGTATTTAAAAGTACCTCATAATAGATTCTTTGTTTTGTTTATTCAGTTTATCATAAGGCACACTTAAATTAAGGTGAAATTCTGCATTACTAATAGCGCTCTTTGAAAATGTGTTGACATTTCATTTGTGAATGGTACTCAGGATTTAGACAAGTCAATTTTCAGATAGGTCTGTTCCTCTGACCTCATTTTCCTACATTATCACCTATATATCATCAAGTCTACTAATCTTATGTTGGGATCCCAAATAATAATAGTTCATAATTCTACAACCACTTAAAAGTTATTGCTCTCACTTAAAATCTCTCAGTTGCTAAATCTGATGGTCTCTCAACCTTCTTCCTGCTTGACCTCTCTGAAACATTAGAGCAAAGATGGGATGGAGAAACAGGGAGGGAAGATAAGGAATGAGCATTTATGTATCACCTATAACATACCAGAGTCTGTGATAAGTGCTTTGCAAATATCTCATTTGATCCTCACAGCTAACAAAGTAGGTACTAGTATTATTATTACTCTCATTTTACAGATGAAGAAATTGAAGCAAATAAAGGTTAAATGACTTGTCCAAGGTCACACAGTTAAATGTGGGAGGCTGGCTTCAAACTCGGATCTTCCTGACCCCAGGCTCCATCTACTGTGACATCTAGCTGCATTTAACACTGTTGGACCACTCTTTCCTACATTTTCACGACACTGCTCTCTTCTCGTTCTCCTCCTACCTATCTGACCACTACTTAGTCTCCTTTTCTAGATTTTCATTCATGTCCCACAATGGATGCCCACTCCACCTCCCTCTTTCTTGGGCCCTTCTTTTTGTCTGTCTCTAACCTGTCTCTTTGTGATTCCCATCTGTTCTAATAGGATAAAAAATAACCTTAAGTCAGATGATTCCCAGATCTATATTGTCAGTTTCTCTCAGTCCCCTTATCACTAGCTCCCTGCTAGGCATCTCTGAATGGATGTCCTAAAAGCTTCTCAAATGCAACATGTCCAACTATAATACTTACCTTTCCCCAAAACCCCTCCTTCATCAAAATGTTCCTATTTCTTTTGAGGGTGTCACCATCCTCCCAAACCATGTAGATTTGCAACTTAGAATCATACCCCACTCTTCACTTTCCATCATCCTTCTCCCCATATCCAACTGATTCTCCAGTCTTGTCCATTTGCCTCCCCACCATCTTTGGCACCAATCTCTTTCTCTCCATTCACAAAGTCACTATGCTAGCTTGAGTCCTCACACTCTCCCCTGAACTACTACATCCACCTCCTCAGATTCCCAGCTTTCAGTCTTTTCTCTCTCCAATTCTCTATATGGCTGCCAAAACAATTCTGTCACTCTCCTGCTTAAGAACCTTTCTTTAGTGGCTCCCTCTTGCCTCTAGAAACTAAACTTGGCATTTAAAGGGTATCAGAAATTCTGCCTCTAGCCTACATTACCAGGCTTATTTCATATTCATACTAGTTTACTTATTGTTACAGTATTTCCTAAACTTATCAATCACCCCACTTCCTTCCTGTGTGAACCACTGGCTTTTCATTGGCTACCTGTCCCCTATATCTGAAATGCACTCTCTCTTCACCTCTGGCCCCTTGGAATTCCTAGCTTCCTTTCATGTTCAACTCATGTGCCATCTGCTATAAGAAATCTTTTCTGAACGTCTCAGTGCCCCTGTCCTTTTTACGCAAATTATCCATTATATGCTTCTATCTGTTCATATATCATTTCCCTCCCACCCCACCTCCCTCCCAGCAACCTCATGCAAGTGCCCTGGAGGCAGGGAATGATTTTCATTTTGTGTTATCACTAGCACCTAGCACAGTACCTTGAACAAAATAACAATTAATCTTCTTACATGGAGGCACAAAGTGCTTTCTTCACAACCACTCAGCCAGACAGTTGTACAAGTATCATTATCCCCATTTTTATAGCTGAGTAAACTGAGGCTAAAAGAGTCTAACTCACCTGCCCATTGTCATACACATCAGTGTCATAGCCAAACCTTGAAACCATAGCATTCCACAGTAACAAAAAAACAGTGTTTGATTTCCCTGAACTCTACTTTGAAGGTTACTAAGCAAAAGTCTCACTACCCAAACAGGAACATCTTGTCTGCTGGCTCTTTATCTGTCATTCTGCCTAATAAAAGCTCAGATCCACCCTTTTCCAAACACAGGGTCCCAGGTAAAGACACGTCTGAAAATATCTGTTTGAAAAAGAAGACTGATCCTTCAAGTTACATAGTTACCTGAGTAAACACAAATAATAAGCATTCTTGCAATTATTAAAAGCTTTTCTTATTCTACATTTTCCCTTGCTTATATATTATCTAATCAAGTAACCAAAGAAGAAAAGACTGAAAATATCACTGAGATCACAGTGGGACATCAATCAAGGATATAAGTCCTGAACTAAGTGATAAGGAGGTGAGGGGAAAAAAAAATGAGTAACAACCTTATTTACAACTAATGGGGAAGACAACAAGCACACATAAGTGAATAGGGATTAAATACAAATAAATACACGGTAGTTTGAAGAGAGGATACTAGCAGCTGGAGAAATCAGGACAGGCTTTATGTAGAAGGTGTTTGGGCTTCATCACGAAGAAAGAGAGGGATCCTCTGAGGTGAAAGTAAAGACAGAGAGCATATTAAAGGCATAAAGAAGGACAAACAATTTAAAGGCATAGAGGAGGGAGATTACATGTTAAAGAGAAAAAGAGAGGAGTCCAACTGAGATGGATAACAGAGTGAGGATAACAGAGGGAGTGATGTTCATTGAGGCTAGGAAAAGGCTGAAAGCCAGATTATGAAGATTTAAAAAACTAAACTTTTATTCTAGAGGCAATAAGGGGCCACTGGAATGAGGAAGGGAGTGACACGGTTAGATCTACAATTAAAGAAAATCACTCCAATGGCAACATGTGGGATGGACTAGAGAGATGAGGGACTTGAAGCAGAAAACATTCAGGAGGCTGTTATGCAGGTGGGAGGTGAGTACAGCCTAGACTAAGGTGACGGGTGTGTGAGGATTGGTTGTGAAAGATGTTACAGAAGTGGAAATGGCATGATATGACAAGTGACTAGTTATGTGAGGTGAGAGAGGCTGAAGAGTCAAGAATAATATGGAGATCACAAACTTAGAATACTAGAAAGATTAAGGAGTCCTGTATAGAAATATGGACATTTAAAAGAGGAGAGGGTTTGAGGGGAAAGATGATGAGGTCCATTCTGGACACTCTGAACTTTAGCTGTCTCTAAGACATCCAGTTTGAAATGTCTAATAGGCAATTGGAGATATAGGATTGAAGCACATGGAAAAGTGACTGATGCTGGATATGCAGTGGATCTATGAGTCACCTGCGTGTCGTTCGCCCTATATTCAAAGACTACCAATGATATCACAGGGTGATGTCTTGACTTGTATGTGAATTGAATTTAAGTGAGGCAGAGTTGTGCACAGTAATCAGCCTCACGCTCTCTTCCAAAATCATCAAAGTCCAGCAGCAGGACAAAAGTCAGAACTACTGTCCAACCATTTTGGAGAGTAATTTGGAACTATGCCCAAAGGGCTATAAAAATGTGCATATCCTTTGACCCAGCAATAGCACTTCTAGGGCTGTATCCCAAAGAGATCATAAAAATGGGAAAGGACCCACATGTACAAAAATACTTACAGCAACTCTTTTTGTGGTGGCAAAGAATTGGAAATTGAGAGGATGCCCATCAATTGGGGAATGGCTGAATAAGTTGTGGTATATGAATGTAATGGAATATTGTGCTATAAGAAATCATGAGCAGGCAGACTTCAGAAAAACCTGGAAAGACTTGTATGGACTGATGCTGAGTAAAGTGAGCAGAACCTGCAGAACGTTGTACACAGTAACAGCCACCTTGTGCAATGACTAACTTTGATAGACTTAGCCCTTCTCAGCAACACAAGGATCTACAACATCTCCAAAAGTCTCATAATGGAAAATGCTATCCACATCCAAAGAACTATGGAGTTTGAATGTAGATTGAAGCATACTATTTGCTCTTTTTTTTTCTCTTCTGTTTTGTTTTGTTTCCTCTTTCTTGTGGTTCCTTCTATTGGTTCTAATTCTTCCTTACAACATGACTAGTGTGAAAATATGTTTAATAGGAATGTATATGTATAGCCTATATCAGATTGCATGCTGTCTTGGAGAAGGAAGTGGGGAGGGAAGGGGAGAAAAATTTAAAATTCAAAAGACTATGGAAATGATTGTTGATAAATCAAAATAAATAATTTTTTTTAAAAGTCAGGACTACTGGCAATGCCTCAGAATGAAATAGATGACCTTGGTGTCTTTGATGTCTGACAAAGCTCTAAGCACTGCAAAGCACTTGCTTCATGGCT